AAACATTAATGAAATGGCTTACATCAGCAATACAAAACAAAACACAAAAATGTATCAAGCGTGACAACCTCAAACATGAATTGTTATCTATACATATATTGTACATCACACACACACACCCACACAACCACACACACACACACACAGCATGCACACACACACACCCACACACACAGACAGAACCACAGGAAGTAAACAGTTTGGTCGGGGCAGGGGTCACACTGTCTCCCTCTGCGTCAACGTCAGCAGTGTGGGACTTTTGTCATTTAGGAGCAAAAAAAAAAACTTGAGCAGCAGCAATGAGAAATTTAATAATTATTTTAATCCTTTAGACGCCATTTAGGGTGGATAGCACTCTTGCCTCTCAGCAATAAGGTCTTGGGTTCGAATCCCGGTTGGACCAGGGCCTTTCTGAGTGGAGTTTGCATGTTCTCCCCGTGTCTGCGTAGATTTCCTCCGGGTGCTCCGGTTTCCCCTACCACTAAAAATATGTACAATAGGTCTGGTATATGCCTCCTGTACTGGCACCCCCACTCCCAAAAATAACAATTGTAAACTTCTTTCAGACTCCGATGTGCAGTGAAAAGGCGGTAAATAAAGATTACTTCTACTACTACCATTTTATGTTTTGAGAAATGTATCGTAATAGTTTTTCTCAGTCGCTTTGGTGCATTTTTCACATAATTCTTCACATTTGCACAACTGTTGCAGCGGGCGGCACGGTGCCTGAGTGGATAGCACTCTCGCCTCTCAGCAAGAAGGTCCTGGGTTCGAATCCCGGTCGGACCAGGGCCTTTCTGAGTGGAGTTTGCATGTTCTCCCCGTGTCTGCGTAGGTTTCCTCCGGGTACTCCGGTTTCCCCTACCACTAAAAATATGTCCAATAGTTCTAGCATGTGCCTCCTGTACTGGCGACCCCGCTCCCATCACTGTGTGGAGAGAGAGACAAATGCCCAAAAATTAACAATTGTAAACCGCTTTGAGACTCAGATCTGCAGTGAAAAGGCGGTATATAAATAAAGATTACTTACTTACTTCTCAGAACAATTAGTTCAAACTGCAAAACCTTGTGGATAACCTGCAAAAGTACGTCACTTTCACAAAATGAAAAGTTTTTTCCTCAAAAGCAAGTCTTCATGTCAATTAAACTGTCTATGTTGTCAAAATAATAAGTCCTAACACCATTGAGTATGAACAACACAGTCAAATGACTTAGTCACGTTTTCATTGTGAAAGTTTACTCTCTCTGTGTTTTCAGTGTAAAAAAGTCAGATCTCGGCAACACTTGAAGATAGATAGATAGATACTATAGATAGATAGATAGATGATAGATAGATAAATAGATAAAAATATAGATAGAAAAAAGATAGATACATTTATAGATAATGTATTGATCCCCGTCAGAGAAATGGAGGTGTCCGCAGCAGAAACACATACATATCTAAGTCTGTACCAGGGTCAGTCTAAGTCTGTACCAGTGTCAGTCTAAGTCTGTACCAGTGTCAGTCTAAGTCTGTACCAGTGTCAGTCTAAGTCTGTACCAGTGTCAGTCTAAGTCTGTACCAGTGTCAGTCTAAGTCTGTACCAGTGTCAGTCTAAGTCTGTACCAGTGTCAGTCTAAACTCCATGTCTGACACCGCACTGACATCACTGTTATGACCCGGCTCGTTCCCGTCATTGCCGCCTGTAAAACAATTATGGGATGTTTTGACAGTGCGCCATTTGGCCGGGAACCCCCTCTTTCAGGAGCCGGGCCCTGACAGTGATTTGGGGGATTTGGCTCGGTGTTATTGGCCCCTGGGAGCCCCTGGTGCGGAGGCCTGAGTGTGGAAATTGCCACCTCTGATTGATTATCTGGCTGTCACCACCAGGCTGCTCACAGGCTGCACTCTGCAGATCCAGAGCCGTTTGGTCCAGGCCGAGGGCGTTTGTGACAAGTCCCTGTGGTGGTGTGAAAGCCTCGGGGCCCGGTGGAGCCAGGAGCAAAGATTCAGCCCTTTCCTAACGCCGCCGGTGCCGTAAAACCTCATCTGAATTCCGTTCTTGGAAATCAGGCGTAAAGTATAGAGCTGCAGTGGAGTCCGAGAGCCGCACTAGGACGGTGACTTTGCATCGTCATGGTAACTGTGTTAATTACAGTACATCACTTTGTTGCACTTAAAGATGCAGTCAGTGACTTTTTCCAGACGCATTCTTTTAAATATTGTGGAAAGATGTCTCTAAACCCTAAAAGTAGTCAAATTATTATCTGTTTTGAAATAGTAATGGAATTGACCAGGTAGTCTACAAAGACCTTCTTCCTGTTTCTCGCAAGTACGCACACCTGAATTATCGGATTATTTAACACGGGGCTGAACATAAAAGGCCAATTTCACGTTTGCAGCCCACTCTCCCTCTTGTGACAAAGAAAATAAAATGCTGGATGTTGTTTGGTGGAGAGGCGAGGGGAGGGAGTGGTTTCCAGTTGGTGCTACGGCTAAGCTAACAACATCGCGTACTGTACCTTTAAGATACTCTATTCCAGGTGGCATGTACCAGGGGTGTCAGACTCATCTTGGGCAGGGGCCAAATAATAAAAACAATATTAGGACAACTACATGGCATCATATCTACACTGTCACACACACACACACTAACAAAACGAACACAGTCTCACACTAATACGACTCTTACAAACACCAATCGCTACATTTCCCAACACTTCTGTGATAATATCCAGCAATAACAGTGATCTACACACGCATGCACACACACACACACACACATACATACACACACACACACACACACACACACACACACACACACGCACACGCACACACAAAACCCTCCTTCCTTTCTCTACTTCCTTGTATTCCTTAACTGTATGAGTTTCATGTAAACATAGATTTACATTGTAACGTATTGGTCAGAATGTGAAATGTAATGAATGCAGTTAAACTATAGAGCGTTGTGTGTCATTATAGACGGATAAAGATAGAAATGACTCCAGCGTTGATACGGTTACACCAGAGGCCTCTCCCATCGAGGACGTTACATCAAATATAAACTATAATACTTTAACATAATATTATTACTTTAACGTGTGAATGACTGTTTGGCTTTGTGACGTCTCCTGCTTCTTTCCCCACAAACGTTTTCTTTCATTTATTCATTTATTTATAATGTTTTTCCAAGGGGGTCCTTATCGTGCTCTGCCAAACGGTTATAAAACAAAAGTTACAGACACAGAACAGACACAGACAAACAACTGACACAGACACACATGCACATACAGCAAAACAAAAAAACATAGACATTGTTTTCTCGTCTCAAACCCTGCTCCCTGTCGCTGCTGCAGTCACTTTGGATCAAGGGCGTAGGTTTGCGTGGGGACCATGGGGACATGTCCCCACCAATATTTGGTGAGGACTAAAAAGTCCCCACCAAAATGACATGATGTCCCGTGACCCGGACGGTCCGGGACACATGTCTTCCGTTTGTGCATACGTCGCGCCTCCTCCTCGCCTCCAGAGCAACAGCAGCAGCAGCAGCACGTGACCCGTTCCGTTCTCTGCAGTGATTGGCTGTCTTCTTCAGCGCCAAAATGAAGCACTGAGCGAGCGACTGTTTAATTTTTAAAAGTTAGCCAGCGTGAAGCAAGTGTTTTTTTTCGTTCCCTGAGCGTTGTAGCACGTGAGTAATCAGAGGAAAGTACTGTAGATCTATTACCATTCAAAGTACTTACGTTATTTCTAATCTGTCAGCGCACTGTTTAATGTTCCGAGGAGCTCACACGGCACAGAGACAGAACAGAACTGGCTCCAATAAAGAAACAGGTTGGTTGAAAGGATGAAAAAATACTTATTGTGCTCTTACTATCCAAAATGTATAAGTGGGTGTGTTGTGTGAATCAGGATAAACTAGGGATGAAAATATTCCACGGATCCACGATTTACAACCTTTATCTGCTGATAATGTAATTTCTGTGAAATGTGTGACAACGGGCACTTGCTGTTATTTGCTCTAAGCACATTCAAGCGATGCACTCGAATGTGCACGTCCTGGTGCAGCTGCTGCCGCTTTGTAATGACAGCCGCGGCGCTCAGTGAAAGCACAGCTCTAACATGGTACCGAGCTCGGACCATATGCAGACAGAACCATGTTGCAAGTGCGGGTCTCCCTCGTATCTCCCGCGTTTCTCCCCTGTGTCTCTGACATGTCTCTCCCCTGACTCTTCCCAAAGCGCAACCAGCGCTCCCGAAATTAAAGCTCGGATACCTAAATTTTCCATTGCGTTAACGATGCATGCTGGTTGTGCGTAAAACACACCACAACAGGTCATTTAAGTTTTTATTTTGCATACTTGAGAGCCCTGTGAGTCATTACCTGCCTTTTTGGGTTGAGAATGGAATAAAAAAAAAGAAAATATAGACAAATCCACACTGTTACTTATTGCCAAACTCTTGTTAACTCATTGTATTGAGAAATACTATGTAACTTTTGACATTGGCCAAGTTATATAAATGATTCTGCAGTTCATGTATATGAATGTGTGTTTTTGATTGTCTATACCTTCTTATATAATTTAGAAAAAATGCCACCTCCACAAAAAAAGATAAAAGATATCAGGAGCTTTTTTAACAGTTGGAAAGTAAGTAAGAGAACAAGTAATAGCAAATTATGAATTGTGATGATTAATCTTCTGTTAACATACATAGGAAACTCTGCTTCTCATTCAGTCTACAGCTGAGTTTAGTATAGAAGGCAACACACTATTGCAAATATAGTGTGTGATTACACAACAAATTCTGGGAGAGAAACTCTGGACCCCGTGTCAATGGGTGTAGACTCAGGTCGTGTGAATGTCCCCACCAAGATTGGAACCAAACCTACACCATTGCTTTGGATACAGTGATTACTTTGATCTTTCTTACAGCTACTCATAATAATCAAATGTCGTCTTTAGGTTTGTAACTACAGCGGTTTTAACAAGTGCAAGTGTGGAAATAGAGGAAATAGATGAAGCTGGGAGATTGTTGCAGTTCTCAGGGCTCTGTAGCAAAAAGCGTTCAGGCTCCGTGGTGGCTAAGGCCTGACCCCTGTTGTCCAAAAGTGGTCCTGTCTCGAAAACTCAGTCCATCCCCAGCTATTCCACCAGGCCCCCTCCTGCCCCCTCCTACCCCCGTCCTCTCCCGTGTGGGTGCTAAATCCATGATGGCTGTGGGTCATAAAGAGCACGTGGGCCTGATCCGCCTCGGTCCCGGAGCTACAGGCTGCAGCGACCGCATTCTGGAGCTAAGTGTTTATGTGATGTTGTGTTCAAGGTCTGTTTCCATAGAAGTGAAAACAAACAAGTGTTTACTACAAGGACAGACGGACGGGTCCTGGTCTGAGGGGACGAGGAGATCAGCAGGAGCCACAGGAGGATTGGAGTGCCTCTGTGTGAGTGACTGCCTTCAGTTTCCCTAAAACTTATTATATAATATCTTACAGTATTTGTGTTAATCAAAGTAGTTCTCATAATTATTTTATAATCTTCCACTTTTTGTCTTTTTCTTGTACAGTAATTTTAATATTAATTCAATTATATACATTTTTGTGTTTCCCAAAATCGCAGTAGTTTTCCAGGAGGACGATGCAATGATGAAAATACTCCGAGCCGTTGGTCCATATGAGGAAGCTGCTTATTAGACTATTATTATTATTATTATTCATGCATTTTTCCTACGGGGATCAATAAAGCATCTAACTATCTATTACTAAACACTTTACATTTAAATAAACTTTTTGACTGATTAATAGATTGCTGTTGTATCTTTGATTGATTGTATCATTTCTGCTACAATTAAGACAATGTTTAGTATTTACAATATTTAAATTCCTTGGTTAAAAGAGACACCTTTGGACATTCTTCTGATGCCTACTGCACTTACAGAATACACACACAATAATACGATACACAATTGCATTATGTATTCACAAATGTATTTCTAAACACACATTATACCGCTTGAAATGAAGTGGGAAAGATGTGGACTCCCCTTGTACACAGTTTAATCTTTATTATACTTTATGTACAGAGAATAGAATGAATCAGGATGATATTATGGCATTTATCTAATAACTGTGTGTTATTCAATAAAAAACTATATCATTGACATTTGCATTGAATGTAGAGTGTGGAGCCTATGTCCTCCTGGTTCACACACGTCTTCTCCAAAGACAAATACCAACAGTTTTCTCAGTCTGTTACTCAATAAACTGTGATAAAAACAGAGAAACAGACTCCAGGCCATAGCTACAGACACTAAAACTATAATTACACTTAGAAATCAACATTGATTCAGTTTTCTCTCATAAGCACAAAGTCAAAGTGATAGTGCATGAGATACTGTAGCACCCTGAGATTTCAGATGTGTTTCTTCTGCTGAGGGTTCAGTTTGAGGAAATGTTGTAGGAGCTTGGAGTAGAGCCGCTGCCCACTTGGAAACATGGCTTAAACAATTAAAGGACACACACAGTAACATGTAAACGTGTGAAATTAGGTAATTGTATAAATATATATCGTAGAAAAACAGTCAACACAGACCGCTCCACATCCTCCATCTTTACTGTAAGTCAAAACTGTCTCAAACTGATTTTATTGTCAATCAATTAATCAAATCAATCAATCAAATTTTATTTATATAGCGCTTTTCATACAAAAAGTGTAACACAAAGTGCTTTACAGTTTAGTTAAAAACAATCCAACATGCCCAGCCCTAAACCCTCCTCCCCACAGACCCCCCAAAACCACATTTATAATTATATATACAACCACATGCGTATACACACACACACACACACACACAGACACACACATACAAGTATATATATATCTACTATATATCTATACGTATCTTCTTACAGATATGAGACTGTCTGTGGACCATGTGGACCATGTGAGTAAAGCTGTGGCAGGTGTGTTGGGATCACGGACAACGATGGTCCCTGGTTTCTTTTTACACAAAGAAATGCATCTGCTGCTAAAATCTTAATAATGTCACATATAAAAAATGTCATGTCAAAAATATAAAAAAAATGCTCAAAGCTTCAAAGTATAGTATGTGTTTTTCAGGCAGTAACGTGCTGCATTTAAGTCTTGGATGGCATTTTACAAACTTGTAAGAAAGAGCAAAGGCATGTTTATTTGTATAGCGCAGTTCATACACAAGGCCTTGTCCTGAACCAAACAAGATATAATAATCACACTTTACATCGAAAGGAGTGAGGATAAAATCACAGAATTGTCAGAGAAGAACTTTAAATTATAAAATGTGTTGTTCAATGGAGTAAAGACAACAAACTCCAGCTGAACACATCCAAAACACGTGAACTTGTCTTTGATTATTTACACTTCTCACACACCTGTAACAAACTCTGAGATTCTGCTTTACTTTGATCGTTTCACCATTGAAAGTTTGGTTGTTGGTTCTGTGACTGAGTGGTTCTGTCACATCACAACCAAAGGAAGGAAACCAGAGAGAGAGAGACCAGAAAGAGAGACCAGAGCGACAAGAGAAAGAACAGAGAGAGACCAGAGACTGGGGAGAGAGACAAGAGAGAGACTAGAGCGAGACGAGGGAGAGACCAGAAACTAGGGAGAGAGACGAGAGAGAGCAGAGAGAGAACAGAGAGAGACCAGAGAGAGCAGAGAGAGACCAGAGAGAGAGCAGAGACTGGGGAGAGAGACAAGAGAGAGACTAGAGCGAGACCAGGGAGAGACCAGAAACTAGGGAGTGAGACAAGCGAGAGAGCAGGGAGAGTCCAGAGAGAGACCAGAGAGAGAGACCAGAGAGAGACTAGAGAGAGCAGAGAGAGACCAGAGAGAGACCAGAGAGAGACCAGAGAGAGAGAGCAGAGAGACCAGAGAGAGAACAGAGAGAGAGCAGAGAGACCAGAGAGAGAGCAGAGAGAGACCAGAGAGAGAGCAGAGAGACCAGAGAGAGACCAGAGAGAGCAGAGAGAGACCTTTATGAATCTAGACTCTTAAATCCAGATCTTAGATTGATCAATGACTCTTCTGGCTGCTGGAAAAGCCATGTTCCAGCTTCTTCCCTCTGGCGAAAGAATATCGTTGGCTGCAAGACATTTGGATATGCTAACATGCTAACAGATTCTTTCAGCTGTTCTCAGTCTGAACAAAGCTCTCTTGTATTGAAGGTGTTTTTGTTGAATGGTTTCACAGTGACGATTGTTTCTGTATAACTTTAACCTTGTTTTAATCCTGTACTTGTCTAATGCACACGGAGGACTCTTGCACAAGTATTCCACTGTGGTTTTACTGAAAATGGAAAATATACGAATCTGAGATATATGGATCAAGTCGTTTTTGCCGGGTGTGAAATGTGAAACCGATGGGCAGGTGAAACTCAACATCTCCTCAAACCGACCCTAAAAACGGTATAAAAAACCTATAAACTCGGCCTTTCTCGACGTGTGACATAAATAGGGCGTCTGTGGCTGCACCTGTGCACCTGCAGGAATGGAAGCATGTGGCAGTTGTCTTTTGCAAATAGACGTGAGCTTTAGGCCTGGGAGAGCTGTGTCCTTGATGCTCTGCCAGTGCGGCCCTATTAAATACATGTGGCTGTGATGTCACACTATGTCCTGAATCACAAGCACGCAGACCACACTCCGCTCCACAGGAAGCAGCGCGGCTTTTCACCATGTCCCCCACCTCCTTCCATTACACCCCCCACCAACCGCCCCCATCACCAACTGCGGCATTTCCACTGAGGTTTGATTAAAGGTGTTATTCTGAAATTAACTCTTCATCAGAGGCAAGGCAAGTTTATTTGGATGGCACAGTTCATACACAAGGAAAGTGCGGAATTAAACAAGATAGAAACAATCACACGAGGCATTAATATTATTAATAATCACAGTCCATTAAAAAGTATGTAAGTAATGTTTATTTATATAGCGCATGTTACAGACCAAGGTCACCCAAAGCGCTTCACAAATATTGTTGCAAACACTCCACACGGTGATGGAAGTGAGACGCCGAACACACTGGTCCATCAAAGCCTCCGACCAAACACCCTCCATTCACTCACTCGTTACTTTCATACATATTGTGCATGTTTTTAGTGGTAGGGTAAACAGGAGCAACCGGAGGAAACCTACGCAGACACGGGGAAAACATGCAAACTCCACTCAGAAAGGCCCTGTTCCAACCAGGATTCGAACCCAGGACCTTCTTGCTGAGAAGCGAGAGTGCTAACCACTCAGCCACCACTGAGCCAGAGTAAAGATAGACGAACTGTTTATAGCCTGGATTTTAACACTGTCAGAGATAAAGCCTGTCTCACATTTTTAGGAAGACTGTTCCAGATTTAATAAATCTGAAATGCTGTTTAGTCCTGACCCTGGAACCAGAGGGAGGCCAGTCCCTGTGCTCCTCAGAGTCCCAGCAGGAGGCCAGTCCCTGTGCTCCTCAGAGTCCCAGCGGGAGGCCAGTCCCTGTGCTCCTCAGAGTCCCAGCGGGAGGCCAGTCCCTGTGCTCCTCAGAGTCCCAGCGGGAGGCCAGTCCCTGTGCTCCTCAGAGTCTGAGTTGGCTGCTCTGGTCCGTTTTTTATTTTACAGTCAGTGGTTATTTTACTTTTATTATGTTTTGTCTGTTTCTTTTGAGGCAAAACTTAAAATCACCTCTGGATCAACAGCAAAAGTGACAGTGGACCTTTCCTGAACACAGTTATAATAATAACTATCATATTAATATCATCATAATAATATCATAAATAAAGTAAATAATATATATATTGTATTTACTTTATTTATTTACTGTATATAATATCAATCATATTAACAATCCTACTTATATAGTTATGGTTTATTGTTATTAGAGCTAATTGAAGACTCTGCACCAAAACTGGTATTTTCTATCTTCAGATGAAGGAAAGAGAACTGTTAAAATGTATCTAAGTTCAACTAAATCATTATAGGTTTCTGTAATATCAAAAGTATTGTGGAATCTGACCAACAAGAAGTGAACGTCTTTGTTCTGACCCATTATCAACATCAGTATCAATATTTCCGGGACGACGTCTCTGATGTTCACGATACCCATCATAGAAAAACTTCTTGTCTTCTTTTGTTTTGTCTGGAAGAAGAGGGAAACAGAGACAGCAGCGTCATAGGTCGCTGCTGTCTCTGTCTCATTTCTCCAGTGTGTCACTTGTATGTAATTTTTAAGCCAACAATAAACGACTATAACAGTATTTTGTTTTATTTTGAATATTTTCATGGCACCAGGTAAACTGTCCTATCTGTGAGGTCTGTCCAGACTCGTTCTTGACCTGAGGACGGCCTCAATGAAACCTCTCTCTTCCCTCTGACCTGAGGAGAGAATGTTCCATGGTTTGTTTTTACTTTTCCATAGATTAACTGGTCCTAATGTTTCTTTTTTATTAGATAACACTTGGAAG